CCATTCATGCGCGTCACTAATTAGATGAGCTCCTACGAATGCTGCTATGATTAGCAGCATGTCTAGCCTAGTTGACCTCCCAGACATGTCTGGTGCTGTTGGTTCTTACTGGCTTGGGCATGAATGTATCAGCACTAGGCTGCCAACTTCTTGAACAAGGCCCTTCAACTTTGGGATGCTTCACCCAATAACGTCGCTGGCTAAGCAGCTGGAACTACCACATGGTGACTCTTTAGAAACAATTTTGGGACGCACATCCTTCGCCAGAAGGCGCAGAAGGACGACATTAAATGGGGGCCGGTCACCGCAGCGGCCGTGTCGCGACTTTTCAAGGTTCCGAACCCCGAGCAGTTGCAGTTCACGGCAGGCCCCAGTTTGAACGTCCAGTCGCGATGAACCGGAGTCTTTGAATCTGAGTCTGATCAAGGACCTGGCTGGTGCCAGCATGGCAGCAAATTAGGGTACTTATAACTTATAACCCTTCTTACTAAGCCCCAAGATCCTCCAAGTAGGGTCTCCGGCTTAGGGTCAAGAGTCGGGGGTTTAGGGCGCATTAGGTGTTCAGGGTCCCGTTTTTCGGTGCTGTTTTCCGATTTCCGGGGTTCTGGTTCTGGTCTGCGGGGGAATTGGAGAATCCCCCGGAGGTTGTTTCTATGTATCTATCTGTCTATCTATCTATCTTCCTATCTTTCTATCTATTTATCTATGCAGATGTATAGCATGTATGTGTGTGTGTGTGTAAGTGTATATCTTTACAGAGAGATATAATCAGAGGGCTTTGTGGGCTAACCCACGTTATGATGGCTTTGTCGGGTATGAGGGTCTTCAGGGTTTCAAGGCATTGGGGTCTTTAGGAGTAGGGTTTTGGGGTTTAGGGTTTAGTACATGTAGGGTCTAGGGTCTGGGGTTGAAGGGTTTAGGGTTTTGTAAATTTAGGGTGTAGGGTTTAGGGTTTAGGGGTTCAGGGTTTAGGGTTTAGTAAGTTTAGGTAGGGTTTAGAGTTTAGGGGGTTCAGGGCCTAGGGTTTTGTAAATTCAGGGTTTAGGGTTTTTAGGGTTTGGGGTTTAGAAAAGCTGTGTGCTTAGAGCTCAGGGTTTAAAGGTACAGGGTTTATTCAATTTAAGTTTTAGGGTTTAGAAAATATAGGGACAGAGTTGAGGGGGTTCGGGGGTTTAGGGTTTAGTAAATTTAGGGTTGAGGGTGTAATAAATTTAGGGTGGTTTAGGGGTGTAAGGTTTTGGGTTTAGTAAAACTTAGGGTTTCTAGTTTAGGGGGTTCAGGGGTTTAGGGTTTAGTAAATTTATGGTTTAGGGTTTTGGGTTTAAAAACATTTTGGGTTGGGGGTTCAGTGTGCAGGATCCCAACACTAATAGGGAAGAGCTTCCGAGAGTCTGAGATTTTGAATCCCAAGCCCCAAAGGCTGACCTGTTTTTGGTGAACTTCCTGAGATCCCAAGCGGGGGTTTGTATTTAGGGTTTAAGGCTTTGGGCTTTGGGTTTTAGGGTTTAGGGTTTAGGGGTTAGGGTTTAGGGTTTAGGGCTTATAGGGTTTAGGGTTTACGGTTGCGGGTGTCCTAACCGCCTGAACCCTACACTACGACAAATCCTGAAGGAGCTGTCTCCAAGGAAGTCGCATCAAGTATGGGGTTTGCTCACACTGTGCCTGGGCCGGATTCGCGTGTTTCTAGGGCCTTAGAAGGGTTTATCACAGCTTGTTTAGGGTTTAGGGTTTAGGGTTAAACCCTAAACCCTAAACCCTAAACCCTAAACCCTAAACCCTAAACCTTCAACCCCAAACCCTAAACCCTAAGTTTGGATTCAGGGTTTTTGGCTTGGGTTTTGGGGACTTGGGGCAAAGGAACTTGGAGCTCTCGGGATGGAATTCCGCATTTTCCCCACTCCAAAAAAGGGCCGACTGCTCAGAGAGTATACGTGTTTAGGGTTGAGGGTTTAGGGCTTTAGGGTTTAGGATTTAGGGTTTTAAGGTTTAGGGTTGAGGGCTTTAGGGTTTAGGGTTTAGGGATTGCTTGGGTTCAACAGGTAACCTGGTATCACTCAGGAAGTCCTTCAGCGCCGAAACTCGTGTAGAGTTGCTGAGTACTTCCCCTTCCCAAAGGGTCCTAGGCACTATTATTGGGGACGCTTTCCCACATCATCATAATGATTCCGAATATAGGGACCCTACATTCTACTACTATGTAGGTACTTACGACGCTTTGGGCGTTGAAGCCTATGTCCTAAACTAAGCCCTCTCTAAAGGATAAAGCCGTCAACACGAAACTTGCACATGTCCAAAACCTTAAAAATTCTAAATCCTGAACCCTAAACCCTAAACCCTAACGCCCTGAACCCTAAAACCCTAAACCCTAAAACCCCCAAACCTAATTCCTAAAACTCCAAAGCCCTAAACCCAAAAGTCCTAAAGCCCTTAGTCCTAAACCCTAAACCCCTGTTCTGTTGTCATTCAGGCCTCTCAGGCTGAAGCCCTCACCGTTTGCAAAATATGAGCTCTGCTATAGGGGCGTAAATAATTGCCAATACGGCTGATGATATAAATCCTGCATTACCCATAACAAAGAATTTACCATACTTGCCATGGTTTAGGATCCTCAAGGTAATGCAGGACTCATATCATCCACAGTATTGTGGTGGTTCCTTATCAAAATTATAGTATAATGGGCCCCAAAACCCTATTTGTTGATTACTAAGGCCCCTATATTACCCCTACGGGTCCCTGTCATAGGTTCCTGAGTAGTACCCTTTTGCCTTTGTTTTCTTGTATGATAGGGTTTCGGGTCAAGGGTTTAGGGTTTGTCATGTTTCTTGTATGGCTGCCTTACTAAGGCTGAGTAGCAGGAGTGTACCCTTCTTATTAAAGGGTCACTCAGGAACCCTACAGAGTATATGCTTGGGCCCTCAGGTGGTTCCTAGAGAGGTACTTCAGGCCTATGTGTACATATATAATCGATTTTGGGTGTTCCTTGTTTTGAATGTCGTATAGTAGTACAAGATACCCGCAAAGCTGTATTCTAATCATTAAGGCCTTCACAATACATATACATATATCATGTAGGCGCTTGGACGCTTAGGGGAAACATGAGAAGGATGCAAAAGGCAGACCCCCAGACAGACATCCTAGGGCTTTGCTTGTCGCCGGCCTTTTTCGAGGTATCAATAGTAAGTATCGAGGGATGGGTAGAAGGTTTTAGGGGAAATTTAGGGTTTCGGGAGAAAGCCCAGTCAACTATATATATATATATACATACTCAGCATCGATACGTAACCCCCTCTAGGCCCTATACAAGCATAGTGCAGTTGACCGTCACGCTGTTAACTCCTCAGACAGAAACCATAATCCCCAAACCCTAAAGCCTAAACCGCTAAACCTCAGACCCTAAAACCCTAAAACCCTAAACCCGACACCCCAAACCCTAAACCCTAAACTAAAAACCTTAAGGGCCATTGCAGCAGAACCCGCCTTTGGCATTCGTATTCAGCCCGAAACCCGAGACCCCCATAAACCCACAAACCCTGAATCCTGACAAACCCTCAAACCGCGTAAGACTCTGATAAGACACCATACAAAAACTGCAAAGCCCCATCAACGAACCCTGATTCCCATTACAAGAACCCTCTATAAGGCCTCCGGTAGCAATGACAAGGCCTAAACCCTAAACACTCAACTCACTAGACCCATTGTGAGACGCAGGGGTTTAGGGTTTAGGGTGACGTGATTTCTACAACAGCTTTACAAAACATAAACTGTAAATTGCATCAACAGAACCCAGGAATTCCGGTGGCATTGACAAGACCTCTTTGGCCACATTGGATGGCAGTGGCCAACGTGTGGCTCGACCGGGCGGGGGAGGGGGGTTCTCAGGAGGGTTGAGGTGACTACATGTTACTCGTATACACTTGTTGTAGCGGCTTAGGAAGGCTTTAGAAGATGGTAACGGGTTATAGCTGTTTTCCATCATGGCTCCGGTAATTTATGGAATCCAATGCGCGTTGGGTCCTTGGGTGTACATAGTATAAGTAAAGTTGTAGATTCACTCCAAAGCTCTAGACGACAGTGCCCGAAACCCCTCGAAATATCATGAGCTTTAGTGCGTTGCAAGCTATGTTTTGTGGTCGTAATTATGTATGTATGTGTATATATACATACA